CAACAGGAACCTGCCAGGGGCCTGAAGGCACCACAGGGTCACAGCTGAGCCCCGCCTGCTGGCCGGCGTTGTGTGGAGGATCCTTGTCATTGGGGGCCCTGGGGCAGGCGTGACGGGTGGTCAGTAGTACTCGTGGTTACCACTGACTGAGACCCAAATCAACTGCATTAAGGCATCTCGTGATACAGCGTCAGGCCTGCCAGGGACCAAGGAGCTTGGAGGCCGAGGTCAGGGTCGGTGGCCAGCTAGGGTTAGCCGCCCAGCCCTGACCCGGGGTGCCACAGTGCTCTAGTTGGCCAAGCTTGGGCATGTCCCTGTCCCACCCTCCCCTCAGCCCTTGGAGAGAAATGAATCCTTAAGAGACAACTTCCATCCTTAAAGGAAATTAGGAATGCATGTGAAATGCAACAGTGAGGGCTGTAAACTTCCTTCTCTCACCCGAACTTTTTTTTTTTTTTTAAGATTTTATTTATTTATCTGACAGAGATCACAAGTAGGCAGAGAGGCAGGCAGAGAGAGAGAGGAGGAAAAATGCTCCCGGCTGAACAGGGAGCCCGATGCAGGGCTTGACTCCAGGACCCCGGGACCTGAGCCAAAGGCAGAGGCTTTAACCCACTGAGCCACCCAGGAGCTCCTCACCCAAACTTTTATGAAGGGGAACTTCAGCCCCCGCCCCCACCCCTCTGCCTCCAGCTGCAGCCACCTGCTCTGCCAGGCCCAGATGCCTCCTCTGGTCTCCTGTCTTGGATCAGCCTGGGGCACCTAAACCTGTCCAGGGTCGCTGCACTCTCTCATCATGGTCCCCTCTCCCATACCACCAAGCTTCTCCATGGATGATTCCAGAACCATCTGCCTTCAGGCTGGCCCCCCTGGGGGCCCACAACAGTGCGCAAAAGAATGGAAGAGGCTTGCAATCCGTTGTTGGATCTCCATCCGTGACCCCAGTGACCCTTGTCTGAGCCTCCACCCAGGCATGGGTAGGTTCCGAGTAATCAATGGCCTTAGGGGACCACCAGATCTGATGTGTGTGCAGTGGGGGTGCTCTCCTTGATGCTGTGGGTGGGGGAAACCAGTGCCGCTGCTGGCATCTCCACAGGGCAAGGACCTACCCAGGGCTAAGGGCCCAGGGACACACGATTGAGAGGGGGCTGGCCAGTGGGCACCAGTAGTGAGGACGAGGTCCAGTCCAGCCTCTACCCAGGTGGCCTATGGCTCCCTCCAGGGACTCCCGCCTTGGGCCAAGCTCTGGCTGCACATTTGTTCCTGGCCAGGCACGTGGGCAGGCACGCGGCTCAGCTAGAGAGGTCCCTAGTACCGCCCAGCCTGGGCACTGAGCTTGCTTGCTTTCTTCTTTTTTTCAGATTTTATGTATTTATTTGAGAGAGAGCAAGCAAGCACAAGCCGGGGGAGCAGCAGAGGGAGAGAGGGAAGCAGGATCCCCATTGAGCAGGGAGCCTGATACAGGACTCGAACCCAGGACCCCAAGATCATGACCTGAGCCAAAGGCAGATGCTCAACGGACTGAGCCACCCAGGTGTCCCCGAGCTTTCTGACAGGTATTTATACATACGGCCCGAATTGGGCCTTGGCATGCTTCCTTTCCCTCATTCAGTGTTGATGAGAGCGGCCTCCGCAGCCTGCTGCCCACGGAGGAGCACTGTCACGTGTAGAGGGTGCCCCTCAGTGGCCCATCTGGGACAAGTGTCCCGCCCCCATGGGATGGCATGCAGGCAGCTGAGCCCAGACTGAAGCTCCTGTCCTCCAGCTACATGCCCGGCAACTTAGCATTCCCGAACTCTCCAATCACGACGCCTTACGGCTTTACTGCATTTCCCTGATGCTGCACACCCTGAGCCCCTTTTCTTTCTTTCTTTTTTTTTTTAAACATTTATGTTTTTATTTTTGAGACAGCAGGTAGGGGGGAGGGCAAAGGGAGAGGGAGAGAGAGAGATTTCCAAGCCAACTCTGCTGAGCGTGGAGCCCAACCTGGGGCTCGATCTCTCGACCCGAGAACACGACCTAAGCCGAAACCAAGAGTCGGAGGCTTAACCAACTGCACCACTCCTGTACCCAGAGCCCTTTTTCTTTAAGAACACCCCCAAACCCACCCCACCCTCACCCTGCCACGGCCCCCCACACCTCTTGGCTGGGCTGTGGGCTTTCGCAGGAGGGGTTAAAAGGAGGTAACATCCAGTGCCTGTGGGTTTTCCCAAGGGGGTGCTCAGGAAAGGCCTCCCCCCATGGAGGAGATGCCAATGCAGGAGGAGGAGGGAGAGTTCCAGATAGGGAGGAGCCTGGGGAAAGTCATCAGGTAGAATGAGTTGGCAGGATCAGGAGCCAAGGAGGGAGTGTGTTCCTCCCTTGTGGAGGACGGTGTGGAGCTCCCACCCACGAAGCACACTGTTCCTCCACGGAGAAATAAGACTCAGCCCTTGGGCACCAAGCTGGGTTCTGGAGGAACCTGATCCCCTGTGAGCCTCAGTTTCCTCAAGGTGGCCCAGAGCATTGTGGCCGGAGTCCTGCCATGGCCTTGTCTCTGGTTGCCTCACCACCCACCTGTAGGCTTGGCTCCATACCCCAAAGAAAATACACAGAACATCAGAAATCCGTGGTCAAGGGATGGGATTACTTCTGTAAGGGAGGAGGCCTTGGGGGGGTTACAACCTAGAGAGGGCAATAAACCCAGTCAGATCACCTCCCGGCCACCCCTGCTCCTCCCCCAGAAACTCCTGACTCATGTCTCTCTCTGCTCTGCACCTCAAACCCTAATGTAGTCTCCTTCCTGACATCCCAACCCCCCAGCTGATGTCCCCAAAGGCAGCCAAATCCCAGCCAGCTCCCTGGGAGGAGCCCCATTCTAGTCCCATTTCAGAGATGGGGAAACTGAGAGGCTTCTCATATGCCTGAAGATGACAGAACTGGTGGATGGTGGGTCTTTCGATTCACGTCCCAGTGGGCACAGGGGAGGTTCGTGGAATCCTGGGAGGGGACAGGCAGCAGATCTCAGAAGGGGGCCTGGGACCCCAGGGACAGGGTCTGGCTGGCTCTGGTCTCCCTGCTGCCACTGGGGCCTCTGTGGGCTCTTGCGGCTCTGGAGTACTGCTCCCCACCTTGGCGGCATGGCTGCCTGTTAAAATGTCACCCAGCTAGGTGGCAGTGGGGCGGGGATTCCCCCGTTATGACGGGTGGTCATGGGACACTGACTCACTGCCGGCCAGACCACCTGACCTCTCCCCGCAGGCTAGAGGGCCCTGCCAGGGGGTTCCCCAGCTGCCTCCTTGTTTACTTCTCACTGGCCTTGGGGGAGGAGAGGAGGGCAGGGCCACAGCCAGGGCTCCGCTCAGCAGGAGGGCATCCTGGGAAGGCCAGAGCAGGGACTCTCCAGGGGTGGGGGCCTCCAGGTTGGCTTCCCTGGGGCCATTTCCTGCCACTCTCTTTCCCCCTAAGCTCTCCATCCGTCCTCGAAACCCACCACAGTCCCCAATGGGGCCAAAGGGTCAGAAAGCAAAGAGGTTCTGGCGGCAAGTGTCTGTTTCCCCCGCTTATTTGAACAGGGCCTGCGCCTCGAGCCCTTCCTGAGACTGGAGGTTCCCGGGGCCCCAGGGCTTTCCTTCTGCACCCCCACTCGCTCCGATGAAGCCACTGAAACTTGGGGGGAGTGGGAAGCTGGGCTCTGGGTCAAGACTGCCCTGGGACACCTGTGGGCTGCGGCAGCCTCTGCCCAGAGCCACCCCTTGTCCATCCTCTGACCCTGGGGCAGTGGGCATCAGGTGCCTTTCCCAGGCTCACAGCAGGGATGCAGGGAGGGGCTTGCGAGGGTATGTCCTTTTTAAAGGGGTGTGCCTACTCTGGAGCTCCCTGGGAAGGACCATCTACACCTGTGGACAGGTCCCTGCTGTGTTCCCATAAGCAAATCACCTTCACACCTGACAGCCAAGTCCACCCACCCTTCCCTTCCGGGTTTCCCATCCCTTGAGGTTTTGCCTGCTCCCCCAAACCCCACCATGAGAGGACGTGACTCAGCAAGTCTGCCTTCTACTCACAGGACCCCACCTGGGAGACTGCATAGGGTGACCTACCCTTCTTGCCCACCTCCTTGGAAGACCCTCCCCCCACCTTCCTCCAGACCTTGTGAACTGGTGGGTTTGGTTCCATAAAACCGTGTTTCTTGGTTATTAGCTGGACGGCTGTTGGTCTGACTCCTGGGATGCCCATGTGGCCAACAGGCCCGAGGCCACGCTGGCCCTTTGGGCACCACCTGTGGAACTGAACTCTGTGCTGACCAGCAGGGGTCGGGCTGCCCTTGGGGAGTCTCTTGGGCTATAGTGAACACCTGAGGACCACTGAGGCACCAGGGCCAGGTGAGGGTAGGAGACCCCGTGCTCCTGAGGCACCTGTCAGCCTTACCCACCAGGAGCTCCTCTGATGCTCAGGCCCGACTGCGGGTATGTCCCTCACTCCAGTAAGGGGCCATCATGGAAAATGCTGGAGGCGCTGGAGCGGGCTGCCACCTGGAAGCCAACTTCTTCCAATGGACGGGAGGCTGTGAAGAGTGAAGTGTCCCGCACAGGACCTCGGGAGCCAGTTAGTTCTGGCCTGGGGCTTCGGGCCGCTGCGCTGGGCATCTCCGGAGGCCTTTGTTCTGCTTTGCTGAGTCACGGTCAGGCCCAGGCCTGGAAGGGTTCCGGGGCGGGACCCCCGTGGGTGCTTTCCCGCAGGTGAGGAGGTCGGAGCCCAACCCTAGAGGTCGGAGTCCCGGGCCGGCCTCTTGGGGTCCCCGGGGCACTGAGGACAGTGAGGAGGGGTTCGGCTGTAGGGGGGTGCGGGACACCGTGAGGGGATAGCGGGGGTGGGGGGGCGACACACGGGAGGGGGCAGCGGGCTCGGGGCCTCGGCAGGGCGGCTCGCGCAGGGCGGTGCAGAGGGGCGGGGCGCGGAGACCCCGCCCCCAGGAGGCCGGCCGGAGCGGGACTTCCCGCGATCCTTATAAAAGCGCGCGCCCGCCGTCATCTGGGCCCGGCTCGTCCCCAGTCGCCCGACCGGCAGTGATGGCGTCTCTCACCGTGAAGGCCTACCTTCTGGGCAAGGAGGAGGCGGCCCGCGAGATCCGCCGCTTCAGCTTCTGCTTCAGCGCCGAGGCCGAGGCGGAGGGCGCGGCCGGGCCCGGGCCCTGCGAGCGGCTGCTGAGCCGGGTGGCTGCCCTGTTCCCGGTGCTGCGGCCCGGCGGCTTCCAGACGCACTACCGCGGTGAGCGGGCCGGGCGCCCTCGGGGGGCTGCGGGGAGCCGTGACGCCGGCGGGCAGGGCAGCACGGGGCGGGGCGGGCGGCTGCCTCTGCTCCTCTGGCCTGGGGGCGCCCGCGGGGTGGGTGTGGGGGTGGCGCTCCCCGCGGGGGTCGGGGCCGCAGACCCGGGGGCGCCGGCCCCTCCCCCCTCCCTGCCGTGACGTCGCAGGTCGGGGCCCGAGCGCACTGGGGCGTCCTCGCCTGCCGGCGGCGGGCACTCGGGTTACGCTGACCCTTTGCTGCGGCCGAGTCGGGGCTGCCTGGGGCCCGGGAAGAGCCGGCCGGCCGCGGAGGAAGGGCTGGCGGGGGAGGCGGGCCAACCAGCGCGGGGGAGGCTGGCCAACCAGCACGCGGGTGCGTGCAGGCGGCGCGGCGGGGCGGGCGAGCCGGGGGCGGCGCCGGCGGCGGGGAGGAGCGGGCGGGAGCTGCCTAGGAGCGGCCTAGGAGCGGCCTGGGTGCGGACGTTCTCCCGCCGGCCGTGGGCAGGGGGACCCAGTCGGGCTGTCCTGCAGCAGTGTCAGCGGAGATGCCCAGGAACGCGCTCCGTCTCTTGCGGCGCGGGTGTGGGCCCTGGCCGCTGGGGGTGGGGGCGGGGGAGCCGGTCGGGGCCGGGAGGGGGCGGGCAGCCAAGGCCGGCCCCTGGGAGGGGCAGTGCCGAGCCCTCCCTAGGAGCGCTGCCAGCTGGCCCGCCCGGTTCCTGGCTTGTTTGTTTTTGTGACAACTTCATGGAGCTCTAATCCACTTCCCGTGTAACTCCCCCACTGCGGGAACAGTTCTAGAGCCTTTACGTCACCTGAGAAAGGACCTAAGGTTTAGCTAAGGCATAGGTAGCTCTCCTTCTCCTCAGCTCTAAGCAACCGCTAATGTTTTTCTTGATGGATTTCTTTATTCTGGACGTTTCCTGTGGACAAGGAACCCTGTATTTTCCTCCTCTTTTGCAACCGGCTTGTACTCAGCGTAACACTTTCGAGGTTTAGGGGCTTGTAGCTTGTGTCTGGACTTCATTCCTTTTTGTGCTGAATAACAGGCCATTCTATGCACATAACCACGTTTTGTTCGTCCGCTCCTTAGCTGGTGGGGGTTTGGGTTATGATGTTTTGACGCTGCGCTTGTTCTTACGGCAGATGTTGTGTCCTGGGCCCACAGAGCTGGCGCAGCCTGCAGGTGCGGGGGTGTGGTTTGGCCTGCATGGTGGGACTTCAGCACCGCTTGCTAAACTAAAAATCACAGAGTACATTACAAATCCTGTAGCTTTATTGGGGGCGGAAGCAGGCAGGTGGACTCCTCTTCTTGGCTTTCCTAAAAAGCCAAAGGCCCAAGGCCTTTGGAGGGGCTGGGCCCCCAGGAATCCGTCACTGGTGGGGGTCTGCTACAGCTGAAGATGGGTCTTGGCCTGGCCAGATGCGGACCGAGGCAGTGCCTGCTTAAGGGGCCGCTGGCTCAGAGGCAGAGTGGCAGCTGCAGTACGCCCCCCCCAGCCGCCCCCTGCCCTCAGCAACCCCCATTCGCTGGCACATACTCTGTCTCCCGTGGGAACCCAGGGCCCATGTCGGAGAGCTTACCTTCCAGGCAGTGTCACAGCGAGTGGGCAGTCCGGCCTTTGCCCCGCCGGGCACTGGCTCACTCAGGTGTGCCTCAGTTCCTAGGCCTGCAGATGCCCCTCTAGTACCAGCCTGCGTCCTTCTCAGCAGCTTGGGTCCAACTGAGAAGCCTTTGGTGCTCACATGCTGTCTTGTAAACAATCTAGATGAGGATGGAGACTTGGTGGCCTTTTCCAGTGACGAGGAACTGACCATGGCACTGTCCTATGTGAAGGATGACATCTTCCGTATTTACATTAAAGGTAAAGGCTTGTTCTGGGGGCCCCCTGAAGCGTGCTTCTTGCTGAATAAAACCTGCTTGAGGTTCTTGAGCAATCCCCTCCGAGGAGCGGGGAAGGTCCTGGGGTTCTTTAAGAGCTAGACTCTGTCCTCTCTGTGCTTGGCCTGAGAGAGGAGTCCCGCAGGGGTTGGGCCTGGGGATCTCTGGGTTCACTCTTGATGCTGCCCCAGCCAGGTGCCAGGGGCGGCTTTGGGGATGCAGTGGGGCGGCAGCACTCCCTGCGGCTTCTTGCTTGCCTGGGCCCCCTGTACTGGGTACCAGGCACAGGACTGCGAGCCTCATGGCAGGTTCTTGGGTCCCCTGCTGCTGTCACTTGAACAGCCGGGTTGCACACGGACCCCGTGTCTGGAGAGCAGGACCAGGGGCCGGCTGACTGAAAGGCCCCCGCAGTGGGGATGAGTGGGAACCGTGGGGTCACACCTTCTGGCTCTCTGCCCTTCCTGCAGAGAAGAAGGATTGTCGGCGGGACCACCGCCCCCCGTGTGCTCAGGAGATGCCCCGCGGCCTGGTGCACCCCAACGTGATCTGCGACGGTTGCAATGGGCCAGTGGTAGGGACCCGCTACAAGTGCAGTGTCTGCCCAGACTACGACCTGTGCGCTGCCTGCGAGGGGAAGGGCCTGCACCGGGAGCACAGCAAGCTGGTTCTCCCTGCCGCCTTTGGGCCCTTCCCTGAGGTGAGCAGGGCTGTGCTGCAGGCGGGGTGGTGGGCATGGAGGGCCAGGAGCTGGAGGTGGGGGAGTCCTCTGCTCTGGTGTCACTGGGTCCCTCTGTTCCTCCCTGCCCCCAGGGCTTCTCTCACAGCCGCTGGCTGCGGAAGCTGAAACATGGGCACTTTGGGTGGCCTGGCTGGGAGATGGGCCCACCAGGGAACTGGAGCCCGCGTCCTCCCCGGGCAGGGGACGCCCGGCCCAGCTCTGCAGCAGAACCAGGTGAGGCTTGCGTCTGCTGGCTTCCCACGGGGGAGGTGGCCAGCTGGCGGCCCGAGAGCCTTCCCCATGTCCTGCAGTCCTGCATGGCTGTGGTGGTGTCCCTCAGCTCACAGAGCCCTGGGGAGTGGGGAGCGTCCCCTTTCTCTTCCTTGCACACGTAGAGTGCCCGAGGCTGCTCATTTGCCTGTACTAGCTGAGTGCTCAGCCCTAAACTGCACTCTCATCAAGCTTTTATTTTTTTTTTTTTTTTTCTGTTTTTCAAAGATTTTACTTATTTGACAAGCTTTTGTTTTTTAAAGTGAGCTCTACACCCAGTGTGGGGTTTGAACTCCCAACCCTGAGCTCTGAGAGTTGCGTGCTCTCCTGACTGAGGCGGCCAGGGGTCCCTGCTCAAGTATTCTGGAGCACAGTCCCGAAGTGAAGAGCTTAACATCTGGCTTGTGTTCCAGAATTCTGGATTCTGGTTTTATTCTGATCTTATTAACTTACTGTCTTCTGATGTCCTCTTTCTTTGGAACAAAGGTGGGGATGTTTGATCCTGATGGGGTTTGAGCTAGAACGTGGTCAGTATCGTAAAGCACATGTAGCAAATCCCCCATGGGCTGAGCACCAGGGGCACACAGGAGCCCGGAGCAGGAGAGAGTTCAGGAAGGCTGCCAGGACAAGACCCGCCCCGGGGGATGGGGGGGCACCTGTGAGGAAGGTGATAGGATCATATCAGGTACTAAAGTCTGCTTTGTACATTGTTTGTTTTTTGGAAACTGAAGCTGCTGGTCCGGCGGAGGATCCCAGTGTGAATTTCCTTAAGAACGTAGGGGAGAGTGTGGCGGCTGCCCTGAGCCCTCTGGGTAAGTGGTGCCCTCTGTCCTTTGAGAGCAGCAGTGTTTTACTCGGTGAGGTGGTGGCTGGTGGGTTGCTTGTCACCACTTGGGTCGCCGTGGAGGAATGGTGACTTCCGGGCCCTGAGGGCTGGCCAGCATTTGTCACCTCACGTCAGCCTTCGCCCGTGCGCTGCACCACAGGCCACTCAAAGTTGAATTCCCTGACACTTTCTGGAACTTTCCCTGTGGAGTGAAGTGGAATCCACAAGTGTTAGGTTGGGATCATCCCAGTAGCCTCTGCTACAGGGCTGGGCCCTGCGGCAGTGGGAGTCCACTAGGACTGAGACTTCTGGTTCAAGGGTGCAGTGGACCCGTGATCTCTGATTAGAGGCGTGCTCCGCTTTGTGACTGCCATGGCGGCGAGTGTCCACGTGTGCACGGATGCTGATGGGAAGGGGAGGCAGGCCTGTTCTTGCCCCCAGCTTGAGGGCATTTCAGCTCCCCCTCCTTTGGGCGGGGATGGTGCTCAGTGGGGACCTCCTGGCGTTGCTCCTCCGTGAAACTGTGCTGACTGCAGTTTCACACTGGAGTTAAAGGCTCTGGAGAGCAAGGAAAAGAACAGATGTTTTTAATGCTTTCTAGCAGGATAGCAGGGGGGGGGGGTGACCAGGTTCTCATCAGGAGACAAGCTGGTGCTGAAGCCCAGCTGCTGCTCAAGATGCCGTGATGGGAGCCATGATTTGGGGGGACGGGAAGCTTCTCTTTGGAAGCTGGTAAATGGCCAGTGGTTCTCAAGGCTGGCTTGAGCCTCCGAATCACCAACATGGGGTGTTTTGTTTGTTTTTTTGGTATGTTTTGGCGTATGGAAACTTGTCTAAAATTACTCTGAAGAACAAAGTCTTTCGCTAAAAGAACAAACCAGACAAGCCGGGGAGTCCCAAACCCCATTCTAGGTCCAGGTAGGGAACCTTGAAACTGCAGAGTCCCAGGTCCGCCTTCTGGATTCTGGCAAATTGGTCGTGGGTCAGGCCTGGGAGCTGTGAATTTCAGAGGCTTGCCAGGGACTTTGAGTTCCACTTGCTGTCCATCGTGAGGCCCATCTGAGCGTGTGACCTGTTTCAGAACTTGACCCGGATTTCCCACTTGGGACAGAGGGGAATAATTTTGGCCACGCTCAGAGGTGTAGGATAAGGGTAAAGGCTTTTTCAGGTCTTGCAGAGTGGTTGGGAGCTGCTGCGTACCCACTAGGGAGGAGCCTGAAGCTCTCGCACAAGGACAGTTTCAGTACCTATGCCTCTGAGTGGTTTCAGTTGAGGAAAGCCACTTGCGGAATTGATTAAACTCTATAGAACTCGGGGTATTTTCCTTCTTAGGAGGTCCTGACAGCTAGGATGACTCCTATGCTAATGGCCTAGAAGGGACTGTTCCCAGAGCAGGGGCCCAGAGGGACAGCCAGTAACACTTCCCAGAGGGCGGACTATATGAGTGACTCAGCAATTTTAAAGCACAGCCTCAAGGCCTTGTTTGGTAGGTGCCCTGAGAGCCAGCTGAGCAGGTCCGCCGCTGAGGCCCAAGACGGCCCCCAGCCTGAGTTTGCAGTCACTGACCTCTGCGACCCAAAACTGCAGGTCCTTTCCTTGTCCCATGGTCTTCAGAAGACCCTCCTCTTCACAGGCTCTGGGGGAAGCAGGCCACAACCAGTGGTACAGTCTGTAAGCCCTTAGGTCTCAGGTTATCATCTGCTGGAGAAATTGGGGTTCTAGAATCTCTCTGGTTCATTTATGGAAGTCCTGTCATTTGTCCACATAGAAAACCGAGACTGTGTATGGGTGTTTATTGTATTTCCTTCCAACTTTTCTGTTTGTTTGAACCTTTTTTTTTTTTTTTTTAAGATTTATTAAAAAAAAAGATTTATTTAGAGCACGTGTGGGGGAGGGGCAGAGGGAGGGAGAATCTTAAGCAGGCTTCCCAGTGAGTGCAGAGCCCGATGTGGGGCTCCAGCTCACGACCCTGAGATCATGACCTGAGTTGAAACTAAGAGCCCAAAAGCTCAACTGACTGAGCCACTCAGACACCCATGCTTGAACCATTCATGACAAAAAGTTGGGGGAGGATAGAAGGAGAAAAAGGACTTAAATGTTCAGATGAGGGTATTGGTAGCTAAGCCCACTTTTATCTCTCTTTGCTCCTCACGCTGTACCAAATTAGCAGTAAAGGGATTAAACACAGGAATATAAAGCAACATGGACAAAGAAAAGGGGGAAAAAGTGCTAGAGGAGGTAAGAAGACGTCACACCTTGAATGGTGGGAAAAGAGTTTGAGGGTGGTGACCAGCAGCGTGGAAACCCACGTGCCTGCTCAAGGGTCCTGGGGCCTGTCAGGAAAGGCCAAGGACCTGGGTAGGGGGTGGTGTGGGTGGTTGAAGGCCACTCTTCAGGATCATGTGGAGATCACTGGCTGGTCAGCCGGCTGCTGGTCGTTGCCCACGCACGCACGAGACCTGATGCTTTGTTGTTGGAGCATTTGACCCAGGGAAACTTCAGCCCTAGGGACACAGGGCAGGGTGAGGCACCAGCCTGAAATTGGGCAGGGGTGTCTGGCTGGGGTGTCCCTGCTCAGTAGAGGCCGGACAGGCCAGAGCCAGGTCCCGCAGCTCTGCCGCTTGGGATCCCGCTGCCTGGCCAGGCACTCAGCCACCCTCCAGAGGGAGACGAATGATGGCTCTGGCCCCTCTGAGAGGGCCGTGGTAGGGTCCAAAGGCCACGGTCTCCAGCCTTTTGGGCACTTCCTGCACATGGACGAGAAGGAACTTGGGGACGGGCTTTACAGGAAAGAGAATGTCAGCGTCCAGCTTTTCCATCCTTGAAAAAAGAACAAGATACAACTGGTATCTTAAGAGCAGATAAACAGTTCAAGAACATTTTTTTTTTTTTTTAGAAATTAAGAAAAATAGCCAGAATAAAGAACTTTAAAAGAAGGCTTAGATTTTAAGGTTACTTCAAGGAAATACTCCAAAAACAAAATAGAGGTGAGAAGAGAGAAAAGGTGAGAAGAATCAAGGATTAATTCCTGGATGCCCAGGGTAGGACAGCTAACAGGAATTCTGTGAAGAGCGCAGACAAAACTGAAGGAAGGAAATAAACAAAGAATATAAGACCATCTTGGCCTAGAGGACATTAACCTCTAGATTGAAAAGGACTCCAAGTGCCCTGGCCAGTGACCAGAAAAGATTCCACTCCAGACCTCATTGTCCTGGCGCAGAACCCTCTGGAGAACGGGAGGCTCTGGAAATGTTCCAGGTTACTGTAAGAGCTCGAGAGTTCCAGGGGCCAACACCGGAAGACTGTGGATCAACCAATGACTGTGAACGTCTGAACAGAACTGGCTTCTCAACGTTGAGCACCATTCCCAGCTGAAACACTTAACGTATGAGGGCAGAGCAAAGCTGTATGTAGTGGCGTTCACCTGAACGCGGAGTGTGGTTTTCACTGAAGAGTTTCTGAAAGGACAGGGGAAGGGGAGCTAAGTGTTGATCTAGAACAAGAAGCAGTGAACTCGAGCCATCAGAGAAAAGGTGGCGTGGGGTGAAAGCTGTCTTTGGGGAGTGGGCGGGCTGTGTTGGGGCCAGGAATCTCTGCTTGAGCCTTCTGGAATGGTTGGAGTCTAAGCTGGGGGCATGTGGCCGTCTGAAAAATTAATTAGAAACGGCATCAGTGACTCTGCCCTCCGTCCCCTCAGTGGGCACGTGCACCCTTGTGAGGGGCTGCAGGCGACCTGCTGGCTGGCCCAGGCTTCCCTCCTAGTGGGCTTCCCACAAGGCCAAGCAGGATTCTTGGGTTTCCTGTCATTGCGCCGCAACCCCCCACCCAACGTGTGAGGCTTCGTGTGGTCCTGGGTGCTGTGGCTGGGGCTCTCTGGCCACGTCTGCTATGTGGCTCCCTGTTTCTAGCCCGCTGCCCACATGGGGCAAACAGGGGCTCTTTATGGGCTTTCTGGCTCCAGTGCTGACCTGGGATGTTCACTGAGATTAGGTTGCATTAACTTGGAAAAAGAGGAAGGGCCAGTTAAGGTGCACAAGTCAGCAGACATGTGCTGGGAGCCAAGGTTTGGGGCCAGGGTACGGGCAGCAGTTAGCCCTTGGGGATCATGAAGGGCAGATGAACGGCCATCTGCCTTGTGGCGGCGGGGGGCTGGCCTTGTGCCTTGGTCCTGCTGTGGCTGTGCTATCCTGTGCCACCCCCCATGCTGGGGTCCCCTCCCCACTATGTGGGGCCATCTCCTACGCTGTGGGGTCCCCTCCCCACTACGCTGGGTCCCCAGCCAGGAGGCCCTCTGGAGACCTCAGAGGTGTTTGCTTCCTCCTCCGTCTCTGCAGGCATCGAAGTGGATATTGATGTGGAACACGGGGGAAAAAGAAGCCGCCTCACCCCCGTCTCTCCAGGCAGCTCCAGCACCGAGGAGAAGTGCAGCTCTCAGCCGAGCAGCTGCTCTTCAGACCCCAGCAAACCGGATGGGGACCCGGAGGGCGTGGCGCAGTCCTTGGCGGAGCAGATGGACAAGGTTGCCCTGGAGTCAGGGCCGCCCGAGGCAAGTGCTTCCTACCTCGACCCCCGGCCTGCACACAGCCCACCAGGCTGCGTTCCTGGCAGAGGGCCGTCTAAGGCGTTTGTGTCGTTCTGCAAACCCGCTGCTTGAACGTTCCTTACCATTTGCAGGAGTGGAGGCTGGGGGCAGGTGGGCTCGGTGCACGGGTCCTGTGTGCTCACGGGGTTTCTGTTCCAGGAGCAGATGGAGTCGGATAACTGCTCGGGAGGAGACGAAGACTGGACTCATTTGTCTTCAAAGGAAGTGGACCCGTCTACAGGGGAACTCCAGTCTCTACAGATGCCTGAATCTGAAGGGCCAGGCTCTCTAGACTCTTCCCAGGAAGGGCCCACGGGACTGAAGGAAGCTGCGTTGTACCCGCATCTGCCACCAGGCAAGTGGCTTCAAGCAATTGTTTCTGTCTCTTTCTCTCTGAACATCCCCTCCCCTCTTTTTAGCGTCCGGACCCAGAATCACGAAGGCCGTGGGACTTAGAGTACGCCTCCAGTTTCCCTGAGGAAGGTGTCGACCTCTGGGCGGGGTCCATGGCCAGGGTCCCTTTCGAGCCAGGCAGGACGCCCAGCAATGTGGAGAGGTGGTGTGTGTGCGGCAGTAAGGCCCGGTGGGGACTGTGGCAGCCTGGAGCACAGCTGAGTAGCAGGGGACAGCTGATACCTTGCTCAGGCTCGTTATTCTCACAATAACATTAAACAGTAAAACTGGTGAAAACACACCTGTGTGGGGTGCCTGGGTGGCTCAGTGGGTTAAAGCCTCTGCCTTCGGCTCAGGTCATGATCCCAGGGTCCTGAGATGGAGCCCCGCATCGGGCTCTCTGCTCAGCAGGGAGCCTGCTTCCTCCTCTCTCTCTGCCTGCCTCTCTGCCTACTTGTGATCTCTGTCTGTCAAATGAATAAATAAAAAAATCTTTAAAAAAAAAAAAACACACCTGTGGGCCACATTTGGCCCTTTGGGCTACTGATACTAATCTCTGCCTTGGAGCAGGGACAGCAAGCTATCACTTATAGGCCAAGAACTGTTTAAAAAAAAAATTTTTTTTTTATTTATTAGAGAGTATGAACAGGGGGAGGGGGAGGGGCAAAGGGAGAAGCAGGCTCCCTGCTATGCAGGGAATCCAATGCGGGCCTCGATCCCTGGACCCTGAGATCATGACCTGAGCCGAAGGCAGACACTTAACTGACTGAGCCCCTAGGCAGGTGCCCTGATTTTTTCACTTGGATATTGGTTGGGAAGAGGTCAAGATGTGAAAACTGGAAGAAGGTCAGATGTCCGTATTCGGGACGGAAGTTGCCGTGGAGACTCTGTAGTGTTTGCTGTAATGGCAGAAGCGAGTTAGGAGACCATACAGCCTTGCAGAGCTGCTCAAAATCCTCACCATCTGGCCTTTTCTGGAAAGCGCTTGTCTGGCTGTCTGGGAGGGTCGCTATGCTGGGCAGAGGGCTCGTGGAAGGGCTGGTCCCTTGGGTGCTCGCTGGCTGCCCCCCTCACGGCTTCTGTCCTCCTCCTGGCAGAGGCTGACCCCCGGCTCATCGAGTCCCTGTCACAGATGCTGTCCATGGGCTTCTCCGACGAAGGCGGCTGGCTCACCAGGCTCCTGCAGACCAAGAATTACGACATCGGGGCGGCTCTGGACACCATCCAGTATTCGAAGCACCCGTTGTGACGGCTTCTGCGCCCGGTCCCATCCCCCTTCTTGTCTCCTGGTTGTGTTGAGCTAGTGTAGAACAGCAGGGCCCCTCTCAGGGCCAGTTTCTCTGCATTCTTCCAGAATCTGGGGGTGGGGATGCACCAAGCCATCCAGGGCAGTAACGCAAGTGACGGGAGGGGGAGGCCCATGTGTGTGGCTGCTGATGTCGGAGAAGCGTCTGCCGGCTCGGCTCCTGTGGGTGGACGAAGAGTCCTTGCTGGGAGGACACGGAGGCCCGATGGCCTTCTGCTGCTCTCCCCCCACCAGGATCACACCAGCAGTCCAGAATGTCTTGCCTAATGGTCTATGCTTTTTCTTTTTTTAATGACTATAATAGTAAGCTGACCTATAGTTGATTTTCACCGGAAACCTGATCGGCTCCAAGTTCAGAGTGAGGACAGCAGACATTCTGTCAGGTGGGGCAAGAGTGAGGATGGGGAGGACAGGGCAGACAAGGCAGTCCAAGCCTGGGCTTCTTGAATCTGTGACTGAGGAGGGGCTCAGAGGGGGAGGCTGGTGCTCACAGAATACCGCCTGTTCCATAACCACTCTAATTCTCTCACTTTTGAATATGGCTGTTGCTTTCACAGTAAGAAAACCCGTTTGTAACCATTCTGTTGCTGTGTTGCAAACAATCTGTAATTAAATGGTATAAGCACTTTAATCAAAGATGTTGCAACCAGAGATGACTTGATAGTTTGTTCTTGTTGACAGTATTGTATAAATCATCCCTGGTCCTTTTTTTTTTTTTTTTTTTTTTTAAGATTTTATTTGAGAGCTAAAGTGTGAGGGAGGGAGGGAGGGATGGAAGCATGAGCAAGGGGAGGGGCAGAAGGAGAAGCAGACTCTCCCTTCCCTGTCCCCCCCAACCCCCAGGCAGGGAGCCAGATGCAGGACTCGATCCCAGGACCCTGAGATCATGACCTGAGCTGAAGGCACAGGCTTTACCAACTGAGCCTCTCAGGTATTGCCCCCCTCCCATCCTATTTAAAAGCTAATTTTTTTTTTTTTTTTTTTTTTTTTTTTTTTGGGCAGTGGCCAAGAGGTCCAGGGGATAAGGGCTCATGTAACATGTGTCCGGGTGGGTAACCTTGTTTAAGTCACTTCACAGATCATCCTCAAAGTCCTCACCAGTTTTAAAAAGGTCACATAGTAGCACAAGTGGGGACTCCTGTACCCCTGTGACCAAGGGACTGCCCTTTGCCAGAGGACCAGTGTCCCGTGGTGGTCCGGAGGGCTTTACACAGGGCCTCTGAGACCCTGATGTGAAAGTATGTGCAGGCCAGGGAAGTTTGGGTGCACCGAGTGGCCTGCTGGGGTGCCCTTCCCTTGGGGTCTGGACCCATAGGGTCCCCTGCTCAGCCAGTGCTGCCTCAGCATGCTTGGGGTCTCTCTGTAGGGCCAGGGAGGGCTCCATGTCTGCACGTGGGCCATTTCCAGGTGGCAGAAGGAATCGTTCCCACTTGGAAGATGTAGCTCTGACCTGTGGGGCCAGACGTGGAGGACCCACCCGAGGAACAGTTCCCCTGTCCTTGTGGCCCCCGCCTTCTTTGACCTTCCCCGCCAGGCCAGCTTCGTCCTGCAATGGAAATGACAGGAGAGAACCATGTCCTCTATTCTGAACAAGTGCCAGTGGCCTGGCAAGACCAAGGGAGGGGAGGGAAGGACCCCCACGCCTGCACTGCTGCTTTCTCCTCTCCGCCTTGAGGCTCCCACACGTCTCACTCTCTGTTCCACCGATTCTTCCTGCTCTCATCTGGTGGGTTAGCAAAGCAGGGCAAACAAATGCCCTCACCACCTCCACCAGATTCCATGACCGGGCTTCCCTCAAGAGAATATTCCCACGGAAGCCTTAGAATCGTGCCTGAGACCATCTAGAAAGGGTGGAAGAGCTTCTGTCCTGTCTGCTCAGTGCCAGGCAGATATGAAAGTCTCCGGAACCACGGGGAGGGTTTGGAGCTGTGGGAGTGGCTGCAGAGGACCCCAGAGGAAGCAACCGCAGCACCGGGTCCTGACTGCCTATAGAGGAATCACCATGACAGGCAGGACCCTGCATCACAACCCCAGGGCGGTGTGGAAGAGGCTCGTGGTGCTCTGTTCCAGACGCAGTGCCCCTGACCTGCCGGGACTCCACTCAACTACGGTGCAGCCTGAGTTCCTCCCCTTCAAAACAAACTGTGCCCGTGTGAGCCTTCCCTGTGAGAATGCAGTTGAATGTTAACCTTGGGCCTGGCCCATCAGTAACTGCCATTATTCTATGACTCAGAGCTTCAGGGACACACAGCTAGACGCAACATCAAAGTCTGACCTTTGCAGTACCAGTTGAAGCTGGGCAGGCTGGCCTTGGCCTTGTTGGGGGATGGCAGAGACCGATGCCCAGCAGAGAGCCTTGGCCTCCGTGCCTGTGGCTCCTGTGAGACAACAGCTGAGCCTGCATTCTGTGGCCTTAAATGTGCAGTGGGGTCTGGCCTGCCAGGCGGGAAGCCTCTAGAATGAGCAGCGGTGTGGGGATGGCGTGGTGGGGTGGAGTGTGGGGTGCAGGGCAGGAGGACCCTGAGCTTACCTCCTACCACAGACACACCGAGGCAACAACTGCACGTATTGCAACTAACTGAAGATGCTGTGAAGCCAGCAGGACTGACTGTCCACGGCTGGCTGTAGCAAGGTCACATCACAAACGGTAGGAGGGGTGGACGTGTGGTCAGGAACCAAACCCCTGGAGTGACTGGCCACAGATGGGATGGGCCTCACAAGCTCTGAGAACATGGGGTCAGACCCCACACTGGGCATCCCCGGCCTTGGGGACCTGCACTGGGCAAACCAGTCACTGCATCACATCCGGCTTTGAAAATCTGGGGCCTAACACCCAGAGCTGGAGGGTGATAGGACACTAAGTCCCTGCCCTTAAAAAGCCAACATGCTGGGGCACCTGGGTGGCTCAGTAGGTTAAGCCTCTGCCTTCAGCTCAGGTCATGATCTCAGGGTCCTGAGATCGAGTCCTGCATCGGGCTCTCTGCTCGGTGGGGAGCCTGCTTCCCTTCCTCTCTCTGTGCTGCCTCTCTACCTACTTGTGATCTCTGTCAAATGAATAAATAAAATCTTAAAAAAAAAACAAAAAACCCAACATGCTTAAGAGCCCAGCCCAACACCGCATGGAAATAGCAGTCGGAAAAAGCACCTGGTATGCATGTGAAGGTTTAACGACTAATTTTAGGATGTGTGTTGGCAGGCCAGGGAGCTACAGTTTTCCCCCTGGAATAACAGTACTGGGGCGGGGGAGCATTTCACTTGCCCTCCCCCGGCCTGGACGAGCAAGTGCTCGCGGGAGCCAGCTCCATCCTCGTGCCAGTTCCAGGTGGGTGCTCTGCTCCAGCACCCCTGTGGTCTTCTTCCACCCAACCTCCCTGCCTGCAGAGTGGCTCCTGCCCTGGGGGTGGGGGCAGGGACCAGTGTGCCAGCCTGCTCTCCTGGCTAGCTATGAAGGGGGCAAGCCGGGTGCTCTAGTGCCCCCACTGCTATTGTGGGGCTGACTCAGGCCCTGCTCCTGAGAACCCCTGGTGGCTGCGGCTGGGCCTCTAAGGTGCCGGGAACAGACTGTGCCCGTGTAGCTGTAGCAGGGAAGCAGGGCACTGCGGCCAGCCCCACCTGCAAGCACGCCCATAGTGGCCACAGTTCAGACACAACAGGGGCACACCGCTCACAGGGGACACCCCTAGCACCACGGCATGGTTCTGCTGACCGTGCGGGACTGCGCTACAGAGCAGCACAGGAACGCTTCTCCATGAAGCCACTATTTGCAAGAGCAGGAGACAGCTGACCTACCTAATCTATAGAAACAAATAGAATCAGACAAAATAAGGAGACAGAGGACCATGTCCCAAATGAAAGAATGGGACAAAATCACAGAAAAAGAACTAAACAAAATGGAAATAAGCAATATGCTGGATAAACAGTTCAAAACAATGGTAAGAAATGGTTGCTGAACTTGAGAGGTAAGTGGGTAAACTCTGAGACTGTCAACAAAGAGATAAAAATGATAAAAAATACACCAGAAGGAATTGGTGGCAGATTAGAGGATGCAGAAGACCGATTCAGCGACCTGGAAGACAGGGTCATGGAAAGCACCATGCTGACAGCAAAAATAATGAAAAATGAGACCAGGTGAGAGGACCTCTAAGATACCAGCAAACTTCACAACATTCACATTGCAGGGGTCTCAAAAGAAGAAGACAGACGCGGCAGAAAATTTATCTGAAGAAACAATAGCTAAAATCCTCCCTGATCTGGGGAAGGAAACAGATATCCAGAACTAGGAAGCACAGAAAGCCCCAAACAGGATTCCCACACAGGACATAATGAAGATGGCAAAATCAAAGAGAAGATTTTTTCTTTTTTTAAAGATTCTATTTATTTGACAGAGAGAGATCACAAGTAGGCAGAGAGGCAGGCAGAGAGAGGGGGAAGCAGGCCCCCCGCTGAGCAGAGAGCCCAATGCGGGGCTCAATCCCAGGACCCTGAGATCATGATCTGAGCTGAAGGCAGAGGCTTAACCCACTGAGCCACCCAGGCGCCCTTCAAAGAGAAGATCTTAAAAGCAATCAGAGCAAAGCAAACATACATACAAGGGAAACGCCATAAGGCTATATGCTGATTTTCTGTAGAAACTCTGCAGGCCAGAAAAGAGTGGCATGACACACTCGAAGTGCTGAAAGGAAAAACCCACAGTCAGGAATATTCTACCTGGTAAGACCGTTATTCAGACTTTTAAACATGCTAAATAGTTCCCCAGACAAAATTCAAAGGATCACCACTAAATCAACCTTTACAAAAAATATTAAAGGAACTTTAACAAGAAAGAAAAGCCCTTAAGTGGAGGAAAATTATGAAGGGAAAAAAATCTAACAGGGGAAAGCAAACATCTAGGAAAGGTAGTGGGTTAATCACTTATAAAGCCCCTATGGAGATTAAAATGCAAAAGTAGTAAAATCAATGATATCTACAGATAGTAGTCAAGGCACACACACACAAAAGATAAAAAATATACACATAAAATGTGGAGGGGGAAGTAACAATTTATGGCTCTTAGAATGTGTTTGAACTTACGCAGCCATTAATTTAATACAGACTGCCATACGTACAGCTCTTGTTCTGTATGAACCCAACGGTAATCACAAATCAAAAATCTAGGATAGTTAAAAAAAAACTACAAAAAACTGGGGCGCCTGGGTGACTCAGGTTAAGTGTCCAGCTCTTGATTCCGGCTCAGGTGGTGAGGGCAGGGTTGTAGGACTGAGCACCATGTTGGGCTCCACTGCCCTCATCAGGGAGTCGGCTCCAGATTCTCTCTCCCTCTGCCCCCGCCCCCACAGACACTCTCTCTGTAAAATAAATAAAAATCCTAAAAAAAAAAAAAAAAAGCTATGACAGATGCACAAAGAATAGAAAGGAACCTAAGCACAACACTAAGGAAAGGAACAGAGAAGAACCACGAAAACAACCAGGAATAACAAAATGGCAGTAAACACGTACTATCGATGATTATCTTAAATCGTCTCAGTGCTCCAGTCAAAAGGTATGGGGTAACTGAACAGATAAAAAGGCTATGTGCTGCCTACAAGAGTCACTTCAGACCTAAAGACAGACTGAAAGTGAAGGGACAAGAAAAGATACACCATGCAAATGGAAGTGAAAAGAAAGCTGCAGTAGCAATACTTCATCAGAAAAAGTAGACTTAAGGACTGTATGGGCATTACATAGTGATAAAGGGATCAGCCCAACAAAAGGAGGTAACAGCTGTAAGTATCCATGCACCCAACATCAGAGGAACACCTAAACCCGTAAGTATTAACAGACGAAGGGGAGAAGTTGACAGTAATAGAATAATTGTAGGGGACTTTAACGCCTCTATTACATCGATGGACAGATTATGCACATGGAAAATCAATAAGGAAATGGTGGCTTTGAAAGACACAGAGGTACTTAGCAGACACATACAGAACATTCCATCTAAGAAAAGCAGAATACGTATTCTTTTCAAGTATACACGGAACTATCTCCAGGAGAGGTCACATGTTAGGCTCCGAAACAAGTCTCAATAAATTTAAGAAGACTGACATCACATCAAACATCTTTTCCAACCACACTCTATGAAACTAAAATCAATGACCAGAAAAGAACTGGAAAAAACACAAACATATGGAGGCTAACAACATGTTACTGAACAACCAGTGGCTCAACCATGAAATTAAAGAGGAAAAAAAAAATACACGGAGATTAAAGAAAATGAAACACAATAGTCCAAAATCTTTGGGATGCAGGCAAATCAGTTTTATGATGGAAGTTTATAGCAATACAGGCCTCCCTCAAGAACAATAAAAATCTCAGGGGATACCTGGGTGGCCCAGTCAGCTAAGCATCTGCCTTCAGCTCAGGTCATGATCCCAGGGTCTTGGGATGGAGCCCCGCATCATGCTCTCTGCTCAGTAAGGAGCCTGCTTCTCCCTCTCCATCTGCCCCTGTTCCATGGTTTCTCTCAAATACATAAATAAATACAATCTTTTAAAAAAGGAGAACGATAAACATCTCAAATAATCTAATCTTACACCTAAAGGAACTAGAAAGAAAATGAACAAAGCCCAAAGTTAGTAGAAGGAAGGACTCAAAAACAGAGCAGCAATAAAGGAAAAAGAGACTAAGAAAACAACAGGAAAGACAAGTGAAACCAAGAGCTGGTTCTCTGAAAAATAAAATTGGTACATCTTTAGCTAGACTCATCAAGTAAACTCAAATACATAAGATCAGAAATGAAAGAGGAGAGGTAGCAACCATCATCACAGAAACACAAGACTCTGAGACTACCATTAAAAAATTATATGACAACAAGTTGGACCGCCTAGAAGCATTACATAAATTCCTAGAAACAAATCTTTCAAAAATGAATCAGGAAGAAATAGAAAATTTGAACAGACCAATTAGTAGTGATGAAATAGAATTTGTAATAAAAAAAATTCCCAACAAACCAAAGTCCAGGACCAGAAGGCTTCACAGGTGAATTCTAGCAAACATTTAAAGACTTAACAGTTATTTTCTTTACACTACTCCAAAAAATTGAAGAGGAAAGAAAATTTCTAAATTCATTTTATGAGCCTTCTACCAGCATCACCCTGATACCAAAACCAGAAAAGGCACTATGTAAAAAGAAAATTATGGACCAAAATCCCTAATGAACATAGATGCAAAAATCGTCAACAAAATCTCAGTAACCCAAATTCAGTAATACATTAGAAGGATCATTCAGCACGATCAAGCAGGATTTATTCCAGTTACACCAGGGTCATTCAATATTTGCAATTCAATGGGACGCGTCGCATCAACAAGACTAAAGATAAAAACCATATAGTCACCCCAACAGATGCATAAAAAGCATCTGTCAAAATACAGCATCTACTCAGGATAAAAAAAAAAAAAAACTCTCAACAAAATGGGTTTGGAGGAAACATACTTCAACATAATAACAGCCACAGATGTCAAACCCATAGTTAACACCATACCAAATGGCACAGAAGTGAAAGCGTTTCCTCTAAGAACTCAGGAACAAGACAAGGATGTCCACTCTCACTACTTCTATCCAACACAGTACTAGAAGTCCTATCACAGCAGTCAGACAAGGAAAAGAAATAAAAGGCATCTGAATTGGTAAGGAAGAAGTAAATTCCCTATTTACAGGTGATATGATACTTTATACAGAGAACCCTAAGGACTCCACCTAAAAACTTCTAGAACTGATAAATGAATTCAGTGAAGTTACAAAATGAATATACAGAAATCTGTTGTGTTTCTATACACTAATAACGAAATAGCAAAAAGAAAAAAAAACAAAAATAAAAAACAAAAAGGGAGGCCTGGCTCACTTGGTTAAGTGTCTGCCTTTGGCTCAGGTCATGATCCCAGGATCCTGGGATCAATTCCTGCACTGGGCAGGGAGCCTGCTTTTCCCTCTCCCCACCCACCTCGTGTTCTCTCTTGCTATTGCCTCTCTCAAATAAATAAATTAATTAAAAAAAAAAAAAAGTAAAATACTTAGGAATAAATTTAACCAAGGAGGTGAAAGGTCTATACTCTGAAAACTAAGATGCTGATGAAAGAAACTGAAGATGACACAAACAAATGGAAAGATAAACCATGCTCATGGATGAGAAGGGCCAATATAGTTAAAATGTCCATACTACCCTAAGCATTCTATGAAATTCAGTGCAATCCACAAGAAAATACCAATACTATTTTTCACAGAACTAGAACAGATAATCCTTAAATTTGTATGGGATCCAAAAGGCCTTGAATAGCAAAAGCAAACTTGAGAAAGAAAAAAACCTATCCCGGATTTCAAGATATAGTACAAAGGTATCGTAATCAAAACAGTATGGTTCTGGCATAAAAAACTGACACATAGATCAATGGTACATAACAGAAAGTTCAGAATTAAACCCACAATTATATGGCCAGATAATCAAGGATGAAACAGGCAAGAATATACAATGGGCCAAAGAGTCTCTTCAATGAAAGGTGGTGAGAAAATGGGACTGCTTTCTTACACGATATGAGAAAATAAATTCAAAATGGATTAAAGACCTAAATGTGAGAAATGAAACCATGAAACTCCTAAAAGAAAACATAGCCAGTAAGCTGCTGGACATCGGCCTTAGCAACGTACTTATGGTTATGTCTTCTCAGGCAAGGGAAACAAAAGCAAAAACAAAATACTGGGAGTACATAAAAATAAAAAGCTTTTGCATAGTGAAGGAAGCCATTAACAAAATGAAAAGACAACATACTGAATGGAAGAAGATTTTCACAAACAATGTACCTGAAAACATCCTTAATATATAAAGAACTTATAAACACCAAAACCCCAAATAATCCAATTAAAAAATGGGCAGAGGACCTGAATAGACATTTTCCCAAAGAAGAGATACAGATAGGTAACAGACACATGAAAAGATGCTCAACATCACTCACCATCAGGGAACTGCAAATCAAAACCCCGAAATTATCCTCACACCTGTCAGGATGGGTAGTACCAAGAAGACAAGAAATAACAAGTATTGGGGAAGATGTGGAGAAAGGGAACTCTTGTGCACTGTTGGTGAAATGTACATTGGTGCAGCCATTGAGGAAAACTGTATGGAATTTCTTCCAAAAATTAAAAATAGAAAATCATATGATCCAGTAATTTCATTACCCATGAGAGCAACACTAGTTGAAAAGATCTACGCACCCCTATGTTTGCTGCAGCATTATTTACAACAGCCAAGATAGGGATGCAGCCCAAGTGTCCACTGATGGGTGAATGGAAAGAGAAGATGTGGTGTGTACCTACATAATGGAATATTACTCAGGCATAAAAAAGAACTCATAAGTACAGAGAACCGGTGGTGGCCCAAGGGGAAGGGGACGAAGGGATGGGCAAAACAGATGAAGTATTGAGGGGTACAAACTTCTGGTGAAAAATAAGGAAGGAGATGAAAAATATAGCAGAGGGCATAGAGTCAGTAATATTGTAACAACGTGTGCTGATGGACGATGACTGGCCTGGTGAGCACGGACTCAAGTACTAAACTGCCAGATCACTGTGTTGTGTCCCTGGAAGTAATACACCATCATCTGTCAACCATACTTCAAAAATGAAAATAGAAACAAGACCGGGGGGGGGGTGCCTGGGTGGCTCAGTGGGTTAAAGCCTCTGCCTTCAGCTCAGGTCATGATCTCAGGGTCCTGGGATCGAGCCCTGAACTGGGCTTTCTGCTCAGCAGGGAGCCTGCTTTCTCCTCTCTCTCTGCCTACTTGCGATCTCTGTTAAATTAAAAAACAAACAGAAAAACAAAAGAGCAGGTCCTAGGTGAGGACAGTGCCTCGATGCGCAAGGACCACCTGGGTGGGTGACGACGAGGCTGAGAACCGCTCTTCGGAAGTCCGGGGCAGGTCCCATGCTGGACAGTCAGACAAAGACCCGCCCCGGCACGTCAAGGGAAGAGAATGGTCCTGACTCAGAAAAGCCCTACTGCTCAACCTTGGTTGATTCCAAGGCAACAAGCTGTCCTTGTGCCCAGCAGTTCACATCACTGAGACTGGGCATGGCAGGGAGACGGTCAGGCCAGAGAACGAGGATGGCTTAAGTCAGAGCAGACAAAACACTCGGGTAGTTAGCAATTCTTTGTGTGTTTCATGGTTACCGGGACCAGAAGAGAAACACTGTCCTCAATCACTGACCTTCTGGGGCTCCAAGGTAACCTCAGAATCACCTAGGTTCTGGACATCAGGGCTGGGTGGAGGCTGGACTGTGCTCTGGCTCCATTTCCTGGTAGAGAGAAAGCACTGCCAAGAGTCCAGTCCTGTCACCATACTTGGGGCCATCCCAGCACAGGCAGGGGCCTGTCCTCCCATACAGCCTCCCACCCAGGTGGCCGCTCAACTTCTGCTCGGCTGCCAAGAGCAGGCTGCCCAATGACACCCGAGGCAGCCCACTTCTCTACAAGCCCCAGAGCTTGTAGTTGCTAGAGAGTTCTTACTTTGAACTGGAATCTAACTCCCAATATCACTTGCCCTGTAGGGGCCACCCTGGTTCTAGACCAGGTACTGTCTCCGAAGACTCATGGACACTAGAGGAGCACAGACCTACAAAAGGTCGGGTCTTCCCTGCTGTAGGCTACAAGCTCCCAGAACCACGAACCACCCTGGCCACACTGCACTTTGTGTGCAGTCACAAGGATGTGAGCACCATAAAAGGCGCCTGTGCTGGCATCCTACCCGACCCTGACCACCACACAGCAGCACTTGGGACCCCGCAAGGCCAAGAAGGGCTTGGTGGTGACGGCACCTCCCGCCAGGCTGCTCTGCGCTGCTGACTGCCAGAGGCCACTCGTCACTCCCTGTGAGACACCGTGGGGACAGGGCGGTGGCTGGATCAGTGACGAGCTCGGCACCTTTTTTTAGGCAGGCCTGTGTTGAAGGAAGGCTCTGGCTTCTCTGTCCTGGACGAGGGTGGGCTCTCGAAACACACGCTTCCTTCCATCCCCAGCCCTTTCGAGTCTTTTTCCAGATACTTCAGCCAGCGGTTCTCTGAGGACTGGGGTTTTTCCTGCAGGATTGGGAAGCAAGTTTATTCTCAGGACCCATATCTGCCCTGGCACCAGGAAAGGCATTTTGTGTGTGTGTGTGATGGGGGGTGATAATGGGGAGATGGACGTCCTATGGCACACTGGGGGCTGTGCACTGGCACAGAGTGCGGGAAAGCTGCTGGACACGACTCATCAAGGAACTTTCCAAATGTCCACGCTCCCCGACCTAGTGGTTCCAAAGGAAGACAAAAGCACAAAAAGGCTCATCCAAGTGATATAAATCAGAGTGAAAACTCACCACAGCGAAAATCTGGAAATAATCTACATGCCCATTCATCATGGGGTAAGTACCTCCACTATATTCTGTAGATACCGGGCATCACTGCAGACTCTACAGCAAGGGAACGACACACGTGAAAACTCCGGGGCACAAACTAGGATTTCTCATAATTGTGATGATGTGAGATGGAGTCCCTCAGCAGACAAAACCGGAAACAGAGCGCCAACCATGTGAGAGTTGTTGTGTTAAAGTGGCGTATGAGCAACACTCCCGTTTATAATAGAAATATGGAGGGCACCTGAGTGGCTCAGTGGGTTAAGCCTCTGCCTTCGGCTCAGGTCATGATCTCGGGGTCCTGGGATCGAGCCCCGCATCGGGCTCTCTGCTCAGCGGGGAGCCTGCTTCCCTCTCTGTCTCTGCCTGCCTCTCTGCCTACCTGTGATCTCTCTCTCTCTGTCAAATAAATAAATAAATAAAAATCTAAAAAAAAAAAAATATGGAAAGCCAGCAGAGGGAGGACGTTGCCAATGCGATTCTGTGAGCAGAGGCAGGCTCTGTCCTCCGGTGGGCGGGGAACCTCCGACAGCTGTTCCCATGCCCCCGGCCCTGGCAGGACAGTGTTCCGTGTAGCCATGGCACCCTGTGTACCCATGGTGTCACCTCCTCAGTCACTCAAGCTCTGACACACACCACCCACCCACCATGGCCTGAGCACCTACTTTACTGGGCACTGGGGCAGAAAACTGGATGGGAGCCCCATGGGGAGGCTCTGTCTGGAGAAAGGGAACATGAAAGCCAGGGACTCTGCAACAGCATCTTTCCCCTAGCTGAGGTGTGCCCAGAGCGCAACGGGGCCAAGGGGAGAAACACGAGGAGGTGAAGTTCAGGTGAAGTTCAGAGAGCTCCTAGCCAAAGACAACGCCCTTTTCAGAGTCCCGTAATAACCACTACACACGGCTGTCTCCAGCCTCACCAAAGGGATGGGTTTACTTTGTGTTCCCTGCAGCTTTAAGCCAGTGTGTGTTACGGACAGCATTTGTTGCACAAAAGACCAACAAGAGAACCCCCTCTGGGACACACTTACCTGCACACTCTCACACTCAGCCTGCCTGGGCTCCGCATTTTCCTCTTCATCAACATTTCCAGGTTCTTCCAGAGACCTTAGTGAAAGATTATACATGTGGTGTCCTTAGTGAAATGACCCAGGAGACAAAGGGCAAGGAGATGGGGATGCCATGATGTGCATACTTGACAATGGATATCAAGGACTGCTCTAGGGATCTTAGGATCTTATGTCTGTTGTTTTGATGTAATCTGGTGATACTCAAACAGTTCAGAAGGGCCTGCGAGGAGGGACCCTTTGTTGTTCAGATTTAGGCTGGTCAAGCCGTCCATCAACAAGAAAGGTGACACGGGCAGAAGGGGCCAACTCTTCTCCTAGACAGACCCGTGTTTGCATCCTGGCTTTGCAAGTGACTGGTCGTCACTGTGACAGTGTGACTTTGGGTTCGTCAGTGTACCCCAGTTCCCTCTCCACAAACACAAGATGGCGTGGGTGACTATGAAGATGAAAGAGATGACATGTGCCCGTGCCTTGCTGAGGGTCTGGGATAGAGGAACGTCAGCGGAAGCCTTATAGCAGAGTCCCTCCCGTCAGCAAAGGCGAGGAGGTGTCCGCTGCACAGTTATACAAGTATGTCTTCAGAGTTCTACCATTATGAGTGAGGACAGACACTGTGTGTGTGTCACAGTGACTTCTGCCAGTCTCCCTGGGGCAGCAGGGTCCTCTCGACACATAGAGAGTGGGGGGCCAGGGCCTCCATGGCCTCTGAGGGGCATGACTGGCCAGGAGAACACTTACTGTGCCCGCGCCGGAGGCTGGAGCAAAGCCACCCCCCCCCCCCCCCCCACGTCGGACAGGGTGGTTACATCGCACCATCAGACGGGACCTCTCTCCAGTGAGCGGCCGAGTGTGGGCATCTGGTCTTGTTTCTTCACTGGTACGCAGACATCCATGATCTTCACAGAGCGATTATAAAGAGGCAATGGGAGCATGCACATCCAACACCTACCCGGCCATGGGGCTGATACTCTGGCGTTCACTTGAGCCGTGTCCTACCAGCTACCAGCCAGACCTCTGCTCACCTTTCTGATTCAGGGACTCAACTCCAACAAAGGACAGTTCTCAACAGTCTGAAGATAGCAGTCTGTCTTCTCGCTTTAAAGTTACCACTGAGAAGTTCGGCCTCTGCTGTTCCTTTGTAGGCAATCTCTCTTCTCTCCAGCTACTTTTCAGCTCTTCCCTTTGTCTTCTGTGTTCTGTAATTTTATCATGTTCCTGTGTCTAAGGGCAGATTTTTTTTAACCTTAAAAATTAACTTAAGGTAGGACATACACTAAAATTTAAGTGTATAGTTAGATGAGCTTTGATGAATTATATCTTTGAAACTATTATCCAATTAAGATTGAGAAAAAAAAATTGAGATATAATGGACAACATATGGAAAATTTTCATCACCCCCAGAAATTCTCATATGTGTCTTTAGAGGCAATTCTCCTCTCCCCCAGAAAACCACTGATCCCTAGAATATGTAGACTTTTGTGTCTGGCTTCTCTCACTTAGCAATGTTTCTGAGATTTGCCTGTTATTTTGAATATTGTATCATCCCATTGCAGGAACATACCTGTAATTTATTTATCCATTTACCTTCTGATTTATCTCTATGTCTAGCCTTTCACCAATAGCGCACTGTCTCAATTACTATAGCATTATAGTAGATCTTGAAACCAGGCTGCACAAGTCCTCCAGCTCTGTCTTGGTAAATTATAGGTACTATATATTTTTTTTTAAGATTTTATTTATTTATTTGACAGGGAGAGAGAGATCACAAGTAGGCAGAGAGAGAGGGAAGCAGGCTCCCCGCTGAGCAGAGAGCCCAACGTGGGGCTCGATCCCAGGACCCCGAGACCACGACCCAAGCCGAAGGCAGAGGCTTCACCTGCTGAGCCACCCAGGTGCCCCAAGGTACTGTATTTCTATGTAATAGGATCAGTTCGTCAATTTTTGCAAAAAAAAGAAGCCCACTGGAATTTTGACTTGGATTAGGCTATCTCTACCAATTTAAGATAAACTGAAATCTTCGTGATACTGAGTTTTCCAATCCATGAACATGTTATATCTTTTCGTTAATTTAGCTCTTTAATTTCTCTCAGCAATGTTTTGTAGTTTTTACTGAACAGATCTTGCATATATTTTGTTATATTTATCCCTACATATCTAATTTTTTGATGCTGTCCTAAATTGTATTTGATTTAAAAAATAATTTTCCGGGGTGCTTGGGTGGCTCAGTTGGTTAAGTCTTTGGTTCAGGTCATGATCCCAGGTCTGGGATTGAGCCCCACATTGGACTCTCTGCTCAGCAGGAAGCCTGCTTCTCCCTCTCCCACTCCCCCTGCTTGTGTTCCCTCTCTCACTGTGTCTCTCTCTGTCAAATAAATAAAATCTTTAAAATTTTTTTTCTAATTGCTCATAGCATTTATATAGAAATAATTTAATTCTACCTATTGACTTCTTTAGATTTTATTTATTTATATGAGGGGGAGAGAGAGAGAGAGACTGCACAAGTTAGGGGAGAGGCCGGGAGCAGGGGAGGGACAAGCAGACTCCCTGCTGAGCATGGAGCCCTATGTAGGGCTCAATCCCAGGACCCTGAGATCATGACCTGAGCTGAAGTCAAATGCTTAACAGACTGACCCACCCACGCGCTCCTGTATGTTAAATTTGTACTGTTGTGATCTTGGTAAAATATTAGCTCTAGTAGCATTTGTATAAGTTCATTAGGATTTCCTTATATACAACCATGTTGTTTGCAAGTAAAATAATGACGTTATCCAGTTTGAGATTTATTGTTTCCTAAATCTAAGAATGTAAGACTATGAATCTGGAAAATGCTTTAGTCTTTTCAGATATTGCCTCTGCCCCACTTTCTTTATTCTCTCTCACTGGAACTCTTCCCTGTAGCTTCTGTGTTTCTCAACTCACATTTTCCGTCTTTTTATTTCTGTGTTGCATTGTGAATATTTTCTTCAGATTTTGCTTCCATTTCACTGATTGTCTCTTCAGCTACATTTAATGCTAAACCTGTCCACTGAATTTTTAATTTCAATGATTATACTTTTCATTTCTATAAACTCTTTCTGGTTGTCTGTCACCTACTTGGGCATTTTTAAAAGTCCTTTGCTTCCTTTTTTTTTTTTTTTTGCACTCTATCCCCAATGTGGGGCTTGAATTCATGACCCTGAGATCAAGAGTTGCATGCTCTACTGACTGAACCAGCCAGGTGGCCTGAAGTCCTTTACTTTTTATATTATCAACACTGTCTTTTATCTCATTAAATGTATCAAATATACATTCTGTAGTCTGAAGTCTCTGTGGGTCTCACTTTTCTGTTGTTTCTGTTCTCTTTTGCTCATGATGACATATCTCCTTGAGTGTTTAATGATTTTTGAACTCTGAGTATATGCTTCCTGGAATTTTATCTGCAGAAATTCTTTCAGGCCTGGGTTGAAGATGTATGCTCCAAAGGTGCTGCATTTACCTTTGCTTCCTTGGACGATTTAAAAATAAATTCTCAGCTTGAGGCTTTTCACACAGAGCATGTAAAAGGCTGAAAAGCCATGTGACCGCTTTCTTGTGTTTATAAATTCCTAGAGAGATAGTTCCATTCCCCATGCCAAGGCCAACATGCTCCCCGTTGCAGAAAGGGTGTATTTCTAGTTCATTTGCTCATCCACTGAGGGTGTAGTATTTTGGGGACTCAACTTTAGGTGGTGGTTTCCTACTGACCCTCCCACATTGACCAGGCCATAGGCCTTGTCTTTGTCCCCCACACCCTTCCTAGCCATGTAAATGGGAGCTCCGGAGCAGCTCAGGCACTTACTCTCTGGACTTTGGCTTTTGCTTTATTTTTGACTTCTGATATTTCGTTTACTTCCCTGCCATCTCATCAGGGTACTCAAAATACTACAGTTAGCATTTTTAGTTATTTTCAGTGGGAAGACCCTTCAGGGGAACTAATCATCACATGGAAATCTAAGGGATTTCTCCATCTTCTACTTCCACTAACCATTCAAGGTGAATGCAGGCCAAGACAAGATAACCATGCCCTTCTCAAACAACTATACCTGAATGCCATCTCTGAAATCTGTCCCTGTAGCAGATTTAATTTTTGGACATGGCGTCTACAGTCAGCACCGGAGCCCTCACCGTAAGTCTGAAAAACAAAAAAAATTGTAAGTTTAAGAAACGTGGATGGAATGCTGAGAAACAGATCCATTAGTGATGTACCTCAGGAAGTGGAAAGCTGTACTTTGCAAGGCCCAGAAGCAACATGCAGAAATCCTGATGACTGACCACTATTTCTGGAGTGATTTATTTACAAACTAACTAAAGTCTGTAGTTTATTTACAATTTATTTATTTGTAGTTTATTTACAAACTAAACTCAGGGACTAATAGTTCTGGGCTATCTGGCTGTCCTTTTTTTTTTTTTTTTAAAGATTTTATTTATTTATTTGAAGAGAGAGAGAGCGAGCAAGCGAGCAGGAGAGGGGAGAAGGTCAGAGGGAGAAGCAGACTCCCCATGGAGCTGGGAGCCCAATGCAGGACTCAATCCCAGGATTCTGGGATCATGACTTGAGCCGAAGGCAGTCGCTTAACCAACTGAGCCACCCAGGTGCCCCTCTGGCTGTCCTTCTAAAGCACTCAGAACTCTGCATATCAAAGACACACTCAGCCCCAAACCCCACACTAAATGGTTACTGAATGTAAACAAGAAATTTGGAAGAGAAGTAACACGAACCGCCAATAAACATACAATATGATACTTACTATTCACTGATAATCAAAGGAACATAAATCAAAATACAACGAAGTACCTTTTCTTCCCCACCTAGCAATCATTTGTTTAACATTTATTGCATACCTATTATGTGCCAGGCCCCTGGACCAGGTAAGGACAATACAATACAAGAGTGGACAAAAATCACTGTCATGTTGGAGTGTACATTCTAGTGCGAGGAGACAGACAATAAGCATATAACTATGTGGCCATCAGATGATGAGAAGTACTACCCAGGAGAATAAGGCAATGAAAGGGGTAGAGTGGAGACAGAGCAGACAATTTTATATAGGGTTTTCAGGGAACAGATCACTAGGCTGACATCTGAGCACACAACAAGAAAATATGAGGGCCAGAGCCATGTAGGCACCTGGGGGTAGGATTCAACAGAAGCAATGAAAAGGACACGAGAGTAAGGGCCCTGTGCCTGGCACTTTGGGGGAACCATAAGGCAGCCACATGGCTAGAGCTGAGTGGTCTGAGGGAAAATGGCAGGAGGTGAGGTCTGAGTGTAGTCCCTACCACAGGCCAAGCTGGCTTTGTGGGCATGAGACCTGTTTTATTGCTGCCATCTTGAAAACATTTTTTTTTTTAATTTGAAATTCTTAATAATCTTACCTTTGAACTTGTGTTGCATTAAGTGAAGTCTCATGGGACAATGGGTCGTGTCTATAAGCAGGGATACACACGCTATGCACGCCCATAGTTTTCTGCTGCACTGTTCGCTCACAGCATGCTCAATGACCCAGGAGCACAGGATTCCAGCAGACTCACAACAAACATGTGGGAGTGTTCACGGAGAGTCCGAGCGTAGACGCTAAGTGTTTGCTGTCTACACCTGAGTATGGGGGGGCACCCACAGCCTGAGAAGCCAGGCTTTCCACAGAACAAGAACCTGTTTCAGATGCAGATAAAAGGCAAGGGTATTCTAAACATACACAGATGACCAAGGAACCCTGTCATATCTTTTATTTCAGTTACTTGCCTAGACAGCTGATCACCGATGCTGAAAAGGAGGACACTGAAGGGAAAGGCAAGAAAGGGAGACCCTCGTTCCTTTCCCTCTCAGTCCTTCCTTACACATCAGGGAGCTGATGAGGGGGAGTGTGGGCAGAATGTGTGCATATCACTAAGTAGAAAAAAGCTGAATTAATTTTGTGCAGCATTTCCACTGTTTTGGGAACAGTGAAATACATAGGCATGTATGAGATCCAAAACCCAAGGAGGACAATCTGGATGATTCTGCATATACAGTAAACACTCTTATGTTATTTGGCTCACGGCTAAATGCTCTTTGCATTTTAAACTGGTGTTGCGGGGTGCCTGGGTGGCTCAGTGGGTTAAAGCCTCTGCTTTCAGCTCAGGTCATGATCCTGGGGTCCTGGGATCGAGCCCCACGTTGGGCTTTCTGCTCCACGGAGAGCCTGCTTCCTCCTTTCCGTCTCTGCCTGCCTCTCTGCCTACTTGTGATCTCTCTCCTGTGTCAAATAAATAAATAAAATCTTAAAAAAAACAAACAAACTGGTGTTGCACAATACCAATGGTAAAATTCACGCTAATAATTTAAAACACTGGTTTTTCTTAACTTAGGAAGACATGCCACAGTAAATTAAAAACATTATGAGGAGTCAAGAGAGACCAGGAAAGAAAGGAAAAACTTACTATTTTAGTACCTTTCGTGGCTTTTTTTTCTGCTTTTGAACAAGGGGCCTTCCATTTTCATTTTGTACCAGGCACACTTGGCCCTGTCTGTAGGACCAGGGATTTTGCTCTAACCTGGAAGGCTGGGGAGAGTGGCTTGGCCCTGCACACGTTTTAGCGGGACCTGAGGCTGCAATGCTGAGGGCAGGCTGTGCGCAGCAACAGGGCGGGTGGCAGGGGGTGTCACCAACAGTGGTGTGGCTCCAACCACTGGAGTAGCAAGTGGTCAGGCTGGGCGCATCCGCAAAGCAGAGCTGACAAAATCTGCTGATGGACTGGACGAAGAGTGTTTAAAAAAAAAAGACGAGTCATGATATCCTCCAGGTTTTAAGCCCAAACAACTAACACATAAGTGAGGGGGAGGACTGTGGGAGAGCAGGCGGGTGGGGGCTGGTGAGGCCTTCCGTTTGGAAAGGGGTCTCTGGATGCCTATCCAAGAACCAGTAGAGCCCTTAATGGGAGGTTCAGGGCTGGGCGTGGGGTCTGAGACAGACATCCCAGAACAGTCAGATGACCTCCTCTCAGAGGGCGAAGGGAGTGAGGCCAACAAACTGAGAGCCAGAGCGATTCTCAAATTTAGAAGTTGGCTAGCTTAGAAAGAGCTAGCCAAGAGGACTGAAACCCAGCCAGAGAGACAGCAGGAGAACTAGGAGTGGGATGACTGGAAGTCCAAGTGAACACAGTGTTTGAGGGGGAGGAAATGACAAACTGTGACAGATGCTCCCAATAGGTCAAGTCCCTGGAGGCCTGAGAACTCACTACTGTTTTTAGCAAATGGAGAGCACCGCTGACTTTGACAGGAGCCCTTTTACTGCACTGTGGGGAATAAAAGCCCAGCTGGGGCAAGTTCAAGTGAGAGGGGGAGAGGGGAACTGAAGAACGAAATGAAAAAGCTTTGCAAGACGTTACTTGACATCTAGCATAAATGGCAGGGACCACAGCTGAATGCTAAAATCCTTCTCCCCTCATCTGGGCACAAACTGGACAACGTTTTCTAGTCTTCCCTGCAGTCAAGGGTGGCCAGGAGACAAGGTTCTTTCTAGTGGGATGTGAGCCACTTCCAAGCCTGACCCCTAAAAGCCTCCTGGGTAGCTCCTTCCTGTTTTTGGCCCTCAGTGGCCGCAGGCAGCAGGAGACAGGCCTCGGGGAGTAAGAAGACCTTGAGATGAAGGGAGCCTGGGTACCTGCATGATGGCACCAAGGATGGCCACGCTGTTGCTCTCAATCCCTCCCAGGATTGAACAAGAGAGACAACTCTATCTGTCAGGCTACCACCGTTTTGTTGTCTGTGTGTCACTGTGGCCTAGCCTACAGGAAGCCAGGCTCAACTGCACAGGCATGGAGGTGCGAGAGGAGCTCCCCTCCAGAATTTGGAAATACATGCTGACATGGAAAACAAGCAGCAGTCACTAGCTCACGAGCCCGCTCCTTGTCTTCGGGGTGGGCCTCAGCAGCTATACTGCTGACCAATGACCTGATCGTCCCTACTCCCACCATCCCAGTTGGCTTGACCAGATGTGGCCATCTGGGTCAACGGAGCCCATCAGATTGCTTCTCCCAGTTTATTAATTGGGACTCAGCCACTCTAGTTGGCTTGAAGTGAGAGTCTGTGGTCTGTGGGTGGAGTATGTCACCGTGAACTATCTGGGGAGAGAGAGGAAAGGAAGGAGAGGAGGCAGGGAACAGGGAAGGAAGATACAGAGAGAATCTGGGTGCAAGGAAACCAGGGGAAGAAAAAATGATGCCTGCGTCGTCTGCAGCTTTGTAGTTTCTGGGGCTGGTCCTTCAAGGGCTCAGGGAAGAAACTCCTCCCTTGCAAGCCCCAAGATACCCCGTTACCTTGCCAGTCTTTTTTTTTTTTTAAATTTTGCTGAAGCCATCCTGAAGTGTTCTTTTTGTTTTGTTTTGTTTTGTTTTTCTATTTGAAACTAAAAGAACCTTGGTCAAAAGATATCCTTTGAAATAGCATTTGACTTCTAGGAATTTGTCCTAAGGAAATAATTGGTCAAGAAAGAGGTCTTTGTAGGAAGCTTCACTGCACAGCTGTTCTTAACAATGAAAACGAAAATCAGCCTAAATGCCAATCACTGTGGGCTTGGTCATTTTCTGATTCAACAAATATTTACTGGGTGAGCCAGTAAACTTATCATGCCAGGCACTGTGCTACGTGAGAGGGTGTATCAGTAAACAAACCCGGCGAAGCTTGAACTTCCAGGAGATAAATGATACTCATGTAAACACACTGGGACATAATATCTAAACCAGGAAAACGAGAAGAGCTGGGGGAAGCCCCAGCAACGCGCACAAAGGCTGTGAGAGTGCGGCGCTGGACCGTTTCAAGGTCTGAAAGGAAAGGCTTTACGGCTGGAGGAGGAGAATGAGAAGCTGAGGCGGAGAAGTGGCATCAAGGGCCAGAGAAGGTGAGCGAGGGCTCGGTGAGGCAAAGGGTGCAGGACAGTTGGTGGTAGTGAAGAGATGAGGTGGCGCAACAGGAACTCGCCTGCAAAGGACTGAAGTGGCCTCAGTGAGAGATTTTACCCCGAGCTTCCTTCAGTCCATACACTCTCTCTCGAGTGTCTCCTAACGGCCTCCACTTCCTGACTGAGCCCACCTCACCCGAACGCTGTGTGCACTGACACACACCCACCGGCTGGGTCTGATGGCCCCGGTCATCTCCTTACAGGCCCTGCCTTCTCCTTGCATTTCTCAGTCTAGTTTAATTTTTAATTTTTATTTTTTTAAAGATTTTATTTATTTAGTCGACAGACAGATCACAAGTAGGCAGAGAGGCAGGCAGAGAAAGAGGAAGGGAAGCAGGCTCGCTGCTTCGCAGAGAGCCCGATGCGGGGCTCAATCCCAGGACCCTGGGATCATGACCTGAGCCAAAGGCACATGCCTTAACCTACTGAGCCACCCAGGCGCCCCTCAGTCTAGTTTTAAATAACCTGTGTGTGTGCATCAGATTCTCTTCCACGTGAGCAGATCTGTGAGGGCAAGAACGACAAAGTTTGGCCTTCCCTTGTTTCTCCTGTGCCTGCACACAGAGGGTGCTCAGTAAATACTTGCTAACTGAATAAATAATGAAGGGAACTTTCTAGCCACTGCTCCATCCAGTTCACTTCCTGAAGGAACAGGAACCCACGGGGCAAAAGTTCTAGGTCTAGGGAACTTGTCCCAATACTGGAATCCTGGGGCTCCACAGTAACACGCTTCTGTAGGGCTGGGTCCCACCCGCTTTCTGGCATGGCTGTTAGAACCCCTGTTTCTCAAGACTCACCCGCAAAAATGACTGCTTCTCTCCACAAGCTTTGCATGTCCACTTCAGACCCTTTTTCTCCTACAATGAAATTCCAGAAATTTGGCTTAGATGATTATTTAAAACAGGTAGAGCTGAATAATAATGATTTTTAAAGATCAATGAAGAATAGAAGCCTAAAAATAAATCACCATATATGTAAAAAAAAAAAAAAAAAAAAAAAAAAAAAATAACATATAAAAAAAAAAAAAAAAAAAAGCTACCAAAAGCTACTATATTATAAAGGTGGCATTTTAGGAATGAGGAAAAAACAGACTATTTAATAAATGGTGCTGGAAAAACTTGCTGTCCATATGCAACAAAGTCAAGTAGATCTCTACTACTTCCACAACCTTTAATTTCAATTCTTGAAAAGTTTAACTAGATGGGTTCTCTCTTAACATGAAAAAACACCTTACATTCAGCTTTAAAACTGGAAAATCACTACCAACACTCCCATGAAAATCAAGAACAAGCCAAAAATCTCAATTACTATTCAATTTCTGCCAATGGAATTGGGAAAGAAAAAGTAATGAGGTATGAAAACCAGAGAGGAGGAAAAAAATAACATTATAGATATGATTTTTAAAAAATATTTTATTTATTTATTTGACAGACAGAGATCACAGGTAGGCAGAGAGGCAGGCAAAGAGAGAGGGAGAAGCAGGCTCCCCACTGAGCAGAGAGCCTGATGCGGAACTCGATCTCCAAACCCTGGGATCATGACCTGAGCCGAAAGCAGAGGCTTTAACCCACTGAGCCACCCAGGTGCCCCAGATATGATTTATCTACCTGAAAACTCAAGAAAATCAAATGAAAAAGTACTAAAAACAGTAAGACAATTAAATAGAGTGGGGCTGAGTACAAAGTTAATAGAGCCTTTACATAAAGTTAATAGAGCCTTTACATAAGTGAATACCTAGTTAGAAAAGGTAATGGGAGAGTCCATTTATAATAGCAAGAAAGAGTGTTATCAAGGGACACAACGTTGCTTTAAAAAAATGGAATGAAGCTGCATGCTTAACATCAAGATGCCTGGGTTGATACATGAAAATTAATATGAGTATGATCCTAGTACAATCAGTCTTCTTGGGGAAGTACCCAAAAGGATTCTAAGGAGGACAGCAGCACCTAAAGCACCTACTACAAATTTTTGTGGGTGTATCTGCCAATTCAGCACTTCTGATTCTCTAGCACCTATCTTCAAACACCATAAAAATACCGCCTTCTATGGGTACATCTGGAGGTAAGAAATGCACTTAAAAAAAAAAAAAAAAGGTCTGGAAGGACATACAAGTGGCTAGCTCTAGGGGTGTGGAGTCTGGAGAGAGACAGTGTGTGAAATGGTCCCATCTGCAATTACCCTTAACTCTTTTCTCGCTTTAGTTTCAAATAATTTCTCATAGTTGAAAATGACCGTGAGAATGCATACTACATATGTGTAATAACTGAAAAATGGAAACGATTTCCATTGAATCTCAACTCCTAAAACACAGTGCAAAAAAGTGAAGTAAAAACAGTTTCTGAGCCCCCCGGTAGCCCTTGGGGGGTCTTAGCAAGCTTAAGGTGCATACTGAGCATCTGACTTTTAAACACTCATTTTGAGTGAGTTTGATGTTATCCTTTTCCAGAACACAGCAGACGAGCAGGTAACCAGGGGGAAGCGAGAACTGTCAAGAAGTAGGTATGCTGGACGGCAGTATTAGGTGACAGCAAGCAGGAAGATGAAATGCAATCCAGGAGAAAACAGGTTAAGTGACATCCCCTCTCCTGCGTCTTGACAGTCAAGGAAGCAGTACCTTTTGGAAATACCGAGTATCTTGTTTAAAACGCTCCATGCGAGGGTTGTTCACCGTCTGGGGAACAGCCCCTCATCACCGGGAGGGAGACACCACGGAGCTAAGAGCTGGACGGCAGGGCACGCCAAGTCGTGTCTCAGTCTCAAAAGCAGTAATCCCTCTCGTAGTGAAATTAAGAGCGAGCCGCTCTGGGAGGGGGCTATCCTCAACCTGCTTTCCCCAACTATCCGCAAGAAGCCACGAGGCTGCCTCCGCAAAAACCATTACCCCCGGTTTCTACGCATAACCATCACGCCGGAAACTTAAAAAAAAAAAAAAAAAAAAAAAAAAAGCCCGAAACGACGTTCTGGCGGGACAGCAAAACCCAGTCCTCAGGGCCAGTCACCGTCAGGAGTCCGGGCGTCCGGGAGACCCAAGCAACCGAGTCCGGGCGTCCGGGAGACCCAAGCAACCGCAGGAGACGGCGCCCGCGCCTGGCGGCCACAAGGCACACAAAGAAGGCCCGGCCCCCCGCGGCCCCGCCAAGTCCTGCCCGCCCTCTCCGCGCCCGGAGGAGGGGGAGGCCGGTGCCCGCCCCACCTGGTGCGCCTGGAAAAGGCGACAGCGGCAGCACCGCAGCACCCAAACGCGCTGTGGGGGAGCCATTGCGGACGCCGTCACTGCTGCGCATGCGCCCTATGCTCTTGTCCGTTCCGGCTTCGTCTTCCGCGCGCGTTCGGTGTCTTTTAGACCCCGGCGCGCCTCGCGTGCGCGTGCGCTCTGCGCTTCGGCCCGCCCCTGCAGCGCCTAGCTACCCTCCACGCGTTCGGGCCTCTCTAGCCCGCCTAGCGTCTCGGCGGTCAGCCGTGGTCCCTGTGACTGCCCAGGCAAGGCAGTCGGGCATCGCAAGGGGTTTGGGTCAGCCGGGTCACCACCGACTTGCTGCCCGGAGCAGGCCCGCCCCCGTCTCTAAGCCCGCGTCTTCGCCCGGGCTCGCTGGGAAGATTGAAGTTGCAAGGGCCGGGCCTCCAGCGCCGCCCCGGGTCCGGCTTCTGCCCGCGCCGTTCCCTCTGCAGCTTCTAGTCGCCCACCGGGAGCGGGTGGGCTCCTCCCCGCTGCGGCCCAAATCCTGGGGATCGGGGTTGGAATTCGAAGGACCTCTGGGCGGAGGCGGCCTTTGGTAACCTTTGAGCCCAAGCCCGAGGGCTTCAGAACCGAGGATCCCGGGAGGGTGGCTCATGAGCCCCACGCTTTCCGGAGACGGGAAGCAGCTGTGGACGAAACCAGGCCCCCGGGAAAGCCCAGCCGCGACCCCCTCAAAGGTTGGAGGGGCAGGACCCCTTCTGTCCCAGCCCGGCAGCCCAAGAGTTCCATCACCACACCCTGACAAGGGTCTGGTGGGAGGAACCCTTCTTAACGGATCCTGGTAGAAGGGTAAAATGGAAAACCGTCTTAGAGCAGTTACCCCTGCTCTAAGAAAACAATCTGACTCACCCAGATTTATTATTTATGTACTAGGGTTCACTGACGTAGAACAGGAAAAAGGAAGTAGACGTGCTAAACGGACCATCGTGCAGGTCCGTTACAGACAATCTGAGTTTCCCCGTGCAGATGCTGCATGTGTATTGATGGGAAGCAAAGAAGTTACAGTATATAATTACAATTAGGTAAAACCAGGCATTATTTATTTCCAGGGGTGGGGAGGGGATTACTGTTATAGAAGATTTAAAGTTGTTTATATTTTCCAAATTTTGCACAGTAGCATATATTAGGGGAAAAAAAACAAATTAGCTTAAAAAATTGTTTGAGGGGCGCCTGGGTGGCTCAGTCGGTTACACATCTGACTTCTGGTCAGGTCATGATCCTGAGGTCCTGTGATCCAGCGTCCCCCTCCTTTTGCCACGCCCCCCCCATACTCACTTTGTGAGCTCTCTCAAATAAATAAAATCTTTTAAAAAATGTTTAAGAGGCTGGATTTACAAACGGACTGTGACCAGATCACACATGAAAACCAACCCCCAACCCTCCAAGCCAACCTACAACCTCTAGGACAGACAGGGCTCAGTCAATGAGGGCCAATTTCCTTATATTTTGCACTTCCGTCTTCATCTCAGGACCAACCAGAGAAAGCCAATTATGCTCCTCACACCAACACAGAAGAAATCCTTCCAGTTAGCCAGCTTCCCCTTCCAGGCCAACAGCCTCTAATCAGCGCACCCCCTGAAACCTTTCCTCGTTTTCACGCTTAAGGCTTTCCCACTCCTCTACCTTGAGTCTCTGCCAAATGCAAGGGATGATGGGTGGCTCCTTTTCTAGCAAGCTCCAGATGCACAGTCCCTGTTCTCATTTGGGTGGTCTTTGTTTATTCCCACCTGTTTGAGTTATTGTGGCTAAAAGCAGAAGGCAGCTGAAGAGTGTTTTATGCTTAATGAAAAGAGCAGAACAATTTCATGGGACACCTCGATGGCTCAGCTGGCAAAGCAGTGAAGCGTATGACTTGATTTTGGCTCTGGTCACAATCTCTGGGACTGTGAGATCCAGCGAGCACAGCGTCTGCTTGAGATTCTTCCTCTCCTGTTCCCTCTGCTCCTTTGCCTCCCTGCCCCCCCCCCACAGGCACGTGCACTCTCTCTAAAACCTTAAGTTATTTTTATATGCGGTATGGGTTCAGGTTTGAAAAAGATAAAAAAATAAACACAGGGGCGCCTGGGTGGCTCAGTGGGTTAAAGCCTCTGCCTTCGGCTCAGGTCATGATCCCAGGGTCCTGGGATCGAGCCCCACATCGGGGCTCTCTGCTCAGCAGGGAGCCTGCTTCCTCCTCTCTCTCTGCCTGCTTCTCTGCCCACTTGTGATCTCTGTCTGTCAAATAAATAAATAAAAATCTTTAAAAAAAAACACAAAAATACGGAGTAATCTTCGGGCACCTGGGTGGCTCAGTCAGTTAAGTGTCGGGGTCATGATCCCAGGATCCTGGGAATGAGTCCCCCAGTTGGGCTCCCAGCAATGTGGGGAGCGTGCTTCTCCCTCTGCATTTCTCTCTCATTGATAAATAAATAAAATCTTTAAAAAAAATACTGAGTAGGGGCCCCTGGGTGGCTCAGTGGATTATGCCTCTGCCTTTGGCTCAGGTCATGATCTTAGGGTCCTAGGACCGAGCCCCGCATCGGGCTCTCTGCTCAGTGGGGAGACTGCTTCTCCCTTTCTGCCTACTTGTGATCCCTCTCTGTCAAATAAATAATAAAATCTTAAAAAAAAAACTAAGTAATTTTAAATACTAGGAAAAAATCATTTTTCTACTTTTCCTTTCACAACAAATAGGTAAATTTTTTTTTTTAAAGATTTTATTTGACAGAGAGAGAGAAATCACAAGTAGGCAGAGAGGCAGGCAGAGAGAGAGGGGGGAGGAAGCAGGCTCCCCGCGGAGCAGACAGCCCAACTTGGGGCTCGATCCCAGGACCCTGGGATCATGACCCGAGCCGAAGGCAGAGGCTTTAACCCACTGAGCCACCCAGGGGCCCCAACAGATATGTAAATTTTAAAACTTCATATAGTTTTCTTAGGAATTATAAAATTGACGTGGTTTGGTACAACATCACCTGGTAAGCAGTTTTAAAATATAATTACATTCACTTATAGAAGGAAAATATTTTTAAAGCTTTACTTGTATTATCCATCTTTTTTTAGTGTTACTGTTCTAGTTGTCATTTTGAATGTCATTGCAGGTTGAATGATTAATAGATGAAAGTACTATTGTACATTTTTGTATATTCTTTTATCATATGAAAGGCTAGATTCCTGTTTTATATTCTTCTGTTTCTCTGGTATATTCTCACATTTAGACTTCCACATGATATATAAAATACATATCCAAATTTCACATTATTTAAATATAATTGATTATAATTTAAGACTTAAAACTGCCAACTTTGTGGAATTTTTATGTTTATCTTTACTTAATTTCATTATGGCCAAGAATATGGTCTTTCTGGTTTGAGCCCTTTGACATTACTTTATGGCAAAGCATGTAGTCAGTTTGTGTAAATACTAGAAAGGAAGTTACATTGATTGACATTTTTTGTTGTTGTTAAGAAAGCCAAGGTATTCAGTTTCCTTGCTGTTGTTTTGCTGCGTTTACTAGACGGGACCCAGCAGCTGTGAACAAGGTAAAATCATGGAGACTGTTATTTAAACAACCAGCCATAAAATCTAAAGATAGAAAGTAGATTAGCGGTTGCTTGGGGCTGGGGGTGGAAACAGGGATTGGCTGCACATGGGTAGGAGGGTATGTCTCAGGTGATGGAAGTATTCTAAAATTGCATGGTGGTGATAGTCACACTATAAATTTACTCAAAATCATTGAATTATAACTCAAAATAAGTGAATTTTATGACACGTAAATTATGCCTCAATAAAGCTATTAAATTAAAAAACAAAAACAGAGGCGCCTTGGTGGCTCACTTGGTTAAGTAACCGACTCGAGCTCAGCTAGGGTCTTGATTTCAGGGTCGTGAGTTCAAACCCTACACTGGGCTCCAGGCTGGGCATGGAGCCAACCTACAAAAACAAACAAACAAAAAAAACAAAAACAAAAAAACAGAGGAAAAACCTCCCAGCCTCAGATCTGCATATATTTTTTTAAGGTTTTATTTATTTGTCAGAGAGAGAGAGTGAGCCAGCAGAGGAAGCTGCAGGTAAAGGGAGAAGCAGGCTCCAGGCTGAGCAGGGAGCCCGATGCCGGGCTCTACTCCAGGACCCTGGGACCATGACCTGAGCTGAAGGCAGACGCTTAATCAACTAAGCCACCAAGGTGTCCCTCAGATGTATCTTTCGGTAGAAGAGCTGCCCCATGTGGTGGGGATGGGGGGCTGAATGTTAGACACTGAAGATCAGCTTTTGCTGCAAAGCTAGGGAGTGCTCCTGGCTCGGTCTATCACCTGTGGCCCCACAACACCTTACTGAACCCAAGTGCTTGCTACAGCCCAGGTCTAGGCCCAAGCCCACACCTGCACACTGGACCCAGGCTGTTTGTACCTGTGGAGCTTGGGACTTCCCCCGTTGGCAGACGTCAGCTTGAGCTCTTCTGGGCCTGCAGTAGCACCTTCTGTGTCGTCCTTCTCCCTGGGGGCCCTGAAGCCCCACCCCGTGGGGGTCTGAGTGGCCAGAACCCCTGGAACATGTCCTGGGTCCCCCACCTGGGAGGAAGCCAGAAGCCAAGCAGTAGCTGAGGCCACATGAAGGCTCTGTACACAGTGTGGTATTGAGTTCTTCCGGGGGTTTATTAAGGCATTGCGCACAGTGTGATTTTCTGCCAACCG